GTTGCCTGGTGACGAGGTAAACAGGCTCCAGCTGGCAACCAAGGTCATGTTCGAAAACATTTCGGATGTCAGGAGCTGAACCTACGACCATCGGATCCGCAGCCGAACGTCTGTCTACACCATGGCGGTTCCCATTTGTTTAAGTACTTAATAAAAACAATAAGTATACAATAATAATAGTAATAAAAGTAAAATTAGCTTAATGTAGCTGAAGAAATATGAAATGTCCAAACCAGCCATCTACAATTATTATAGAACCAATCAGTCTATCAGTTCTTTCCTTGTCATAAATACCCCATGTTTGTCTTTGCCATAAGCAAAGATGAAAGTAACTAACACCATACGCAATGAATCTTTGCGATGAGTTCCAATTCCGATGGCACTTTTGCCTTGAGTGTTGAGCGCTGACCATATTCCTTTTTAACTCCTCGCAGTGCCATTCTCACCAAACTGTAATTATTTGTGTCTCCCCAATGTTCACTCGCTCTTACAGGGCTCTCACAACATCCAGCTTATCATACATCAGTTCACCACCAAGTGGTGCATAACGAGCCAGTAGATCTGCCTGCTCCTCATCCAACACACTGGCATCAGAAGATTTGACGGAGATACTCAACAAGAAAGAAAAACCAGAAAAAAAAAAAAAAAAAAAAACTGTCTAAGCTAAGGTGTCTCTAGAAAATTTGATAGACGCTAACTTTGGCAATGGAAGTGACAAGATGTTTTAGTATTCTATAACCAACAGGGATAAAACAAAAATAACACATAAAAAGGGGTAATGGCTTTTAAACTTCATGTATAGCTAGGGGCCCCCACCCCTTTTCCCACCCCCCCACCACCCTATCTTCTGTTTGTGGTGAACTGCCTGACTAAACTAACATCTTGTGCTAAATAATACTTTGCGCTGTAATATTGCACACAATGACAGGGTGTCCTCTATAGTTCAAAGCATGACTTTTTGACACGCACACACACACACACACACATCACATAAATATCAGTGCGCATACTGTGTTTACGTTTTAAAAAATAATGTAAATATGGGAGGGGGTTGGGGGGGGGGGGGGGGGGGGGTGACTGCAGTCAAGCTAATATATGGAATTTGTGTAGTTCACTTCATGTTTGACAAAGGCCACGAGTCGATTCGTTTTTTGTGTTGTTTTGTGCACGTTTTTTTCGGCTTCCCTATTTCGTTAGGCCTTTCATTACATTTCACTGGAATTATCTTTTCTAAACGTATTATTTTAACCCCGTATTTAGCTTCCAAAATCACTCCAGAAAGTACGGTGAAAAAATAAACATTGCATTTACGATGCATACTTTTCAAAATGCTCTAGGTCTAATAAATGTGCGTAGATATTAGATATTTAAAGTAATTTCGTTAAATTGCAGTTTAACTTTGATAGCTTGATTTATTATTATTATGCCTGATTGTTAAAGAGCAACCGGTAAATTCTAATTATGAAATTACAGCTGGGATTCGTATTTGAGTGTAACATACTTATTAATGCTGAACAAAATGAACAAAATATCTTTTCATTATCATATGCACAAATATGACATGAACATATCTAGAAATTATTTGCGCACGGTAATTTACAACTGTGAATATAAATCACGTATTTTAATTATACGATTTAATTGCATACATATATTTGAAAAACTAATATAACGATGAAATTTTTATTCCGGAATTATGACTGACATACGATAAATAGTTTGCATGAGAAAGATACGCAGTGCAAAAAAGTATTTTACTTAACTATCAAACGTAAATATCTCTAGAACCCAGTCATGGACGATAGCAAGAATTATGTATAGACATTAACAGTACAATAGGGTATCCCATTGGTTATTGAATAAACCGTTTAACTGAAGTTTGTAGATTAGTTTCACGAACTGCGCAATCTGGCTGATTAGAACAATGTTTACGTAGTTTAGCGGATGGCCACTGAAGATACGGAATTCGTTGTTCGTGCTTGGTTTTTGTATGCCCACATAAACACAAACATATATTTGCGTTGGTGTAAAAGATTTGTTGGTAGACGAAAAAATTCAAAATCTTTGACAGAAAGGAATAGTTGTTAAAATTCCAAGGAAATGTAACCTCGCTGACGTAACAGCTGGAGATGAATTACTGTTATCAGTAATATAAGGTTCTCTTTTTAAAAGAATTCTAAGTAGAACTGAAGGGGTTGTGGCAAAAATCCACAGAGAAGAACTAGCAGGTTTTCAACATGAAGGAAGCTTGAATAGATCAAAAACTAACCACGAAATATATCTGAGAGGAATTTTTTTAAAAACGTCAACTCCTTTAAAAATAATTTATCTTGGTTTTTGATGACTTGCACAGAACACCGGGGAGTCGCCGTGGCGGAGCAGCTAGGCGCTCGCCGCGAATCTTAAGGTCTTGGGTTCGCTCCCTGGCGGAGCTGGACCTTTTTCACAAGTGATCTTGGCTCCCAGGTCGACCCATGATTGAGTGGGTACCAGGTGCAGTCCCAAAAAGTAGAGGCGGCCGGCGTGATGCTGACCACATCAACCATTTTTGCCGAGTGATCTATAAAATAAAGGTCTAGCACTATATGTCGTTTACGCCTAAAGGAGTATAAAAGGGATCTTTACTGTTTTTTTTTTAAAACTTAACACAGAAAATCGCAATGAGGAATTTTGTAATGCTATACTACACATTGAAAAATAATAAAAACAGTAATAAAGCAATGTACGGAAGTTCAGAGTGTGCAGTGCGAACAAATAATGGTTTAAGTGACTTATTTAAATAACGTTCATTGGGTGATTAAAGACTTTTGTGTTGAAAACATCGACACTGAGTTAGCGGAAATCACACAGTTAGAAGACTTTATTTTTGCTTGTAACATTGTTCTGTTTAGTAAAAATACACAAATATATCACCTAAAATTGGACAATGCATAAGTTATGCAAAGAAACAATATCATAAAGAACAATTTACCTATTTAGTTAGTAGCTTTGATAGTCGGAGAAATACAACGAAAGTACTTAAAACTCGCACTGACGAGGCATTACCGATCTTCCAGATGGGGAGCTGTAAATTGTATAGTTTTAAACCCAGTTACGTATTTTCAATTTTATTAGTATTTCAGTTTTAACCGAGGCATGTGAAAGCTTGAAACTAAATATCGATAATAAACTAAAGCCTTTGAAAGCAATTGGTTCTAGGAAAAAAAAATTGAACTTTATTTTTACACGCACCAACAAGTTTCGACAAATAAGTGATGAGACTAATTCTATAAAAATTAAAATAATCAACAGTTGAAGATATAACCTGTATCTGATTCAGGGTAAGCTCCTTGTGCATTGATACAGCAAGTGGCACGGTTTAACAACAACTGGAACGACCTCCGTAGTTCTTCTGTTGTTATGGCTGTTAAAGTCGATGTTACGGCTCTTTGGATGTTATCAATATCGTCAAAGAAGCGTCCTTCCAATCGTAACTTTAATTTTGGGAGTAGAAAATAATCACAGGGAGACAATTCTGGGAAATAGTGTGGAAGACTGAGAACAGACACTTGTTTTGGGGCCAACAATTCTTGTTTTAATAATGTCTCTTGGGTACTCAATCCGCTGATGTTTTTGGTCAACAGACAACGATTGTGGTACAAACCTGCAAGCAACGTTTTTCTTGCCAAAATCTTGCACTAAAATGTTATGAATGGTCTCCTTATTAACACCAGATTCATCAGTCATCATCCGCACAGTAAAACAATGATCTTTTTGTATCCGTTCTCTGACTTTTTCAATGAGTTCATCATTAAGAACAGAAATTTTGCTTCCAGATCTAGGTGCAATAATATTCATTTCCACATCACTTTTGAATCGTGAATACCACCTGAAAATTGTAGCACGAGATAAACAATTATCACTATAAATAGTTTATTTAACATAATTATTTCCATGGTGCTTTTTCTTAGTATCAAAAAGAATTTAATGTTAGCTTTTTGCTCCGTGCCGATTACGTAAATATACACCTCTGACTAGGTCAACAAAATGTTGTTTGTTGTCTGCTTAACGAGCGACGATGAAAAGTTGCCAGATCATAGATAAATGTCGCCTCCTTAGATTCCATACTTTGCTTCATAGATGGCATTTTTGTTTTGGCCATAATAAAATCAGTCTCATTACTTAATTGTCAGTCCTTGTATAAAAAATTAGCTCCCCCATTTAACTGCAATATTTGTTTAGAGTATTTTGTATAGTGTATAAAATTATTACCGACATAACTTGCGGGAAGAAGGTTACGTTTGACCTATCTCGTGTGTACAGTTCACACATTATATTGTTTACATACCACTTTAGTTTAGTTCCGTATCACAATAGTTACATGCATAACACAACCCACTTTGAATGATCACTTTTCTGTCCAATACATTGACTTTCCGTTCCCCTGGTGACCACATAATACCCATTAAACGTTGCCTCTTAAGTAAACACCCAGAGATTTGATTTGATTTGATTTAAGAACCGATATCACAGCCCTCGGGCCATTTCCATAAGCGTTCCGTCCCCATCTTCAGCAGCCAGCGAAGAGTACTGATACAAATGGTGCCAGTAGCATTCTGATTAAACGTCCGTCTTGCCTTTCCTCTGAGCCTCGAGCATTTGCCAGACCCTCTCGTCACCCCCAACTGCATCAATCTCACCAGACCGTGGTGATCCATCTGCCCCTCCGAACTGAACACGCTCTCCCACAAGGCACTAACCACGTCTGCCTTATCATGTATCAGTATTCCACTAAGTTGTGCAGAAACAGCCAGTCTGTCCGCCTGTTCACTTTTCTAACACACCGGCGTGACCCGGTGAACAAATCCAGACCATACTCCTCACTCGTGTCCTCCGCAGCGAAACATGCCACTCTGCACGAAGCATACCTGCACAGAGATATTATCACTCACTTAATACATCAAAATCGCAGCATTCCAGAGATTGCTAATACACCTTAATTGCTTCTGTGAGGGCGAGATATGTCCGTTTTATTGGACAATGCATCTTCATCAGTTTTACATAGAGATTTGCTTGATGGTCACGGCACAGTCATAGGCTCTGATAGTTTCATCAGTGATAAGGCAATAATAATTTTCCAGTACGTGATGATAACTGTGATTTGTCAGTTCATAAATATTTTTGGCGTGGGAACAAACATCATCAACATCATGTGCTTTGCTAAGCAAGGTTTCAACGATTCTGTTAACATTTGTTTACTAGGTAAAGAAAAATGCATCTGCAGTGTTGTGTAATACAGTATGTATGTTTTGTTGGTAAAGTTGCACACGAGTGGAAGATGCAACACATTAAAGAATACATACTTAGATTTTTGTTTTGTAAGTGTATGAGTTCTTTTAAGAAAATTTAATTGCAAATCATTTACAGGCAGTGGATAGCAAATTCCAGCGTGTGTTGGCTGTTTGTGGTTTACGTAAAATAATGCTAGCACAAACAATACATTTCACAATTTATTGCTGGGCTTATTACTGTATGCATAAAAATAAACAATCCCCCTTCATGTGAACAGAAGGAGTTGATCATACATTTAAAGTTACCTTACTAAGTCACGTAACTACCAAAAACTCCCAGATACAAAACGAAAAATGTATCGAGAGAAACCATTTCTATTTAACTAGGATTAATTCAGTGTTTGTGTTTCATTATTTGTTGATGTAACTGTATGAAAGCACAGGACCAGATGCAGCGAAATATTCCTAGTAGTAAATTGTTCGATGTATTATTTCTGCCCACATTATTTAAACTCTCTATAGGAGGAACATTGTTTTAAAAAATCAACTTTTGCTCATGGGTTTACCTAATATAAAATAGGTATCCGGAACCAAGGGCGGTAACAGTTCTATTGATCTCATCATTTAAATTCTGACAGGTCTGTATACATATGTTTTTAGCACGACCTGATCTATTCCCCAATGGCGAGAAAGGTCCTTTACTTATTTTAACCCGTTTAACCCTTGATCTCCCACATATGCATTAAAAAAAAAACCATTTTGTCTTAAAGAATAGTGCTTTTAAATATATATATATATTATATATATATATATTATATATATATATATATATATATATATATATATATATATATATATATATAGATTAAAAAAAAAGGAATCTAACTAATACGACTACGGGACAATAACAGCTAAACTATCAGTCAATATATGATGGGTTAAAGCTACAGTTGCATGAGATGCAAGGAGCTCACAGACGCATAGCATGCTAATAGAATGATAAGTTGATTGAGACTAAATAGTTATTGTGTCTCGTTAGTTAACTTCTTGATTAATTTCACGGTGTCTCCTATTCAAGGTCTTGCCATCTCCGACCTGGGATGTTTGACTACACTCTAATCTGGGGTAGCATCTTCTTCACTCCAGATTTCGTTGCAGCCGATCTGCCATTTATTCCCTTGGAAGTGACCTATCTGACGAGTGGCATCCCTCACACGACATTTACTCGAATTACTGGCTGGTCACTGCGTGGATTACTCTGGAGAGATGTCTGTGTATTACGGCGCCCTTAAAGCTTCGTTACATTCTAGTAAAGCATCGCTTCAGAGCATCCGGGTAGTTAGTAACCTTTGAATATTATCTCTAGTGTTTGCCGGTTTATCTGGAAATGAACTAGTAGATATACTGGCTGGCTTTACACAATGTGGTGGTGAATTGATGCATGACAAGCTAGATGTTGTAAGCGCTCTTTAGGTGCGAGTGAACAGTGCGGAGGCACTGATGGATCATTAGTCTGAGTAGAATGATGCTGCAGGGAGTGACCAGGGGCTCTTTCTGACAATCAAAACTTAAGGGTAGGATGAGACAGATATGCCATCAAACTGTTATTTGTACCATAAGAACCCTGGGCTTGCTGCTGAATATGGGGAGAGAGCGCTTATGGGAATGTTCCGAGTTTTGTGACATTGTTTCTTAAATTAATAACAGAAAATATTTTATAATGCCTGCTAACTGTGAAGTATTTTAACACTCACTGTCTATCCCTATACATTATATGACCCCATGATTGGGGAAAACACGAGTTGACTTTTTTTAGGTTTTTTATGGTGGTAAGTAACACAAAAGCTAACTAATAAACTTTATTTAAAAAAAAACCACTTGTGCGACTAGGATGTTTTTTGTTGCCCTTCCTGTTTCTTCTGTCAATAGACTATGAAGACAACAACTGCTAACACCACGATGGAACAGATAATGGTGCTCGCCTGGGATCATTATCTGTCAGGGACCTACTTTACTCTGTAATATTTAATATGGCTCGCTAGGTAGGCCAGCTAACAGCCTTAACTACCTAGACACACCTAAGACACACTCCCGCAGAGTACAAACATAAACTTTAATGTACAATGAACAAATCGACGTTAAACACTTCAACTGAGTTAGGCAGTTCCTTTCCGAAACCCCTGGCAATGAGCAGCTTTACAATCACTGGTCAACCCACGCAGGTCCCCATGGATCTATAAGGAACACGACTCCTAGCTGACAGTTTCTCAGTGCTAATTAAGCCACCGTCTTTTGCCACACGGGACTCAGCGATACACGTAAGGTGTATGGCCTAAGCGTGACTGGGCAGTGTTATCGCCATTACAATGCGCGTCACAACTTTACTAACTGCTCAAACAAATACTGCATGGAATGTCTACTACACAAAGAACATTAACTCTATACTATCTAGTCGAAACATTAAATAGAAACACAGCCTATCGTAGATACTACACACAAAATGTCCTATTTCAACTAACCGTCACTAAACCTAATTTTACCTAGTCAAAGCGTTCCCTCTTATTGTCTCGTCCCGTCTTAGTACATAACTCTCCATCAACCAGCTCGGACAAAGCTTTTTGTTTCCGGCCGAGTTCACGGCTCAACACGCAGTAATCCGTGTCACCTGTGTGAACTGGCCTTGGTCCGTTAACTGGACCCAGTTTATTCAGTGGTCAAGCTGTCCGCTCTCATACTGAGTTGTACTAAAGGTCAACTCGTTCAAACGTAATGATTCACTATTATCATCGTCCGTCCCATAGCCGAACTGGCCTCTGACACTGTGAATTGCACAACACCCCTCCCGTTTTCCTACAGGATTATAGTTTGTAAGGTTAGCATCTCACGGATGAGAATCGAACAGGTGCAAATCTTAGAAACCCCTGTCAACGTTATAGCCGAATAGCGCAGTTGTACTGGGGCAACAAAACACAGTTACGAAGTAACCTGTAGTTCAGTGTGGGTGGTCAGTAGTTGATTTTGGGCGCTGCTGGTCATTATAATGACTAACTTAAGGAATGAAGGCTGACAGGATTGAGGGAAGTAAAGGTCCCGATTTTACACGCCTTTAGGCGTTTTGGGAATATAGGGTTATACATTTATTTGTGTAGACCATTCTGCACTTGGTGGGTAAGGTGGTTAGCATAACGTAGGCCGCCTTCACTTCCCAGGACTAAACCTGGTACCCACTCAAGGCTGGGTCGACCTAGAAGTCAAGGCCATTTTTGAAGGAAAAAAAAGTCCAGCTCCGTCAGGTTGCAAACCCACGACCTTCCGATCCGCAGGCGAGCGTCTAGCCGCCAAGGCCACGGCGACTTCCTGAATTGAGAAAGCTGACAAAATCTTAAATGGAATGAAAAGTTTAAATACGACGAAATCAGATAAATGTCTGTACTGCCCAAACCCTTCGGAAAGTTTTATATTATTATAAACACAAATGAAGTGATCGTTGTTGCTAGAATGCCTTAATCAGCGAATTACATGAAAAGACTCTGTTACAATTAAAAACAACAATACATAAAATCGCTTAGCTGAAGTATCTACGAGCGAATTCCACATTACTGTCTGGCCAGTCATAGCTCTCATAGGCATGTAACCATCTTAAATGAATACTAGCCAGATAAAGCTGTCACAGGCAAGGACCAGAGAAAGGCAGCCAAGAATAGCTGGATGAATTCTGAGAATAAGCGGGCAAAGGAACACAAAACAGAATTTCACATGGGAAACATGTGTTCGGAAAGCGAAGACGTTAGAGAGAAACCATCTCGAGAAGCGTTTACGAGAGTTGTCAGCCTAGATCCATACCATAACATCCTGAAATTAAGAACTCTCAGTCTGGACTGCGGACCAACAAGAATTATCCTTGATACCCATTTCAACCTCCAATTTAGTTAGATTATGGCACATGTAACAGCAACACCAGTTATTTATAACCGTCCTCCAATGTGGTGAAAATATCGAGGTGACTGCAGTAGAGCAGTATCCCCGATATTCACCCTCCATACTGTTTGGGTAATGTTGAATATTGAATGTTGAATTAAGAATCGACATCACGGCACTCGGGACGCCCTAATAAGCGCCCCGTCCCCATCTTCAGCAGCTTACAAAGAGTTCCAATTCCGACGGTACCAGCATGTGATTGTATATCCGTCTCGGCCTTCATTTGAGTGTTAAGCGTCGGCCAGATCCCCTGGTAACTCCTCGCAGCGCTATTTCCCTTAGACCTAAATGATGTGTTTGCGCTTTCGCATTCTTCACTCGCTCCCAGAGGGAACTCATAACGTCTAGCTTGTCACATATCAAAACATCACCAAGTGGTGCACAATCGGCTAGTCAATTTGTTTATTTATTTTGTCATACATCAAAACACGGTTTTTCTACCAACAGATAAGGATATATACGGCACAGATCGATCATAGTGAAACAAAGCTTTGATTATTGAAAGCATGCAATCTTATAAACTAGTCGTGTGCCACAGTTTGTTTCCCCAGGTTAACGCCATCTTGACACCGAAGAGAATGTCAATAGTAGTCATATGTGTCTTTGTTATCCTCATTGTCAGTGTCTTCCCCGTTTACGCTGTGAACTGGCTGGGACCCCAAGTTTGTCCTACATAAAAACAATCTTTGATTGGCCTTGTGTTTAGAGCAGACAGTGAGACAATTGCAAAATTTACCTTTGTGTGTGTGTGTGTGTGTTAATAACGCTTTCGTTCCATTTACTTCATTTGTTATTGTAACTATGTGTATAATAACACTAGTGATTCAGTTACAAAAGCAAATCAAATGGCGACAGAAAACATTAAAGTAAAAACAAGCAAACAATTTCTAGTCGAAACCAGAAAATTGCTAAAATGGTTTTGGTAATTTCCATTCTCATTCCAACGGGAAAATTTATAAGGCTCTATTGATGGTAAATACATTAACCCTTTCT